AAAAAGTATAGTAACGAATTGTTAAAACCAGTATCACATTTAGTGAATTTATCAATCAAAAATAATGAATTTCCTGAAAATCTCAAAACGGCTGTTGTGACTCCAATTTTTAAATCAGGAGCTACAGATAAAGCTTGCAATTATCGACCGATCTCAATTTTACCTGTGATTTCCAAAGTGTTGTGTACCACAAGGGTCCATATTGGGCCCCTTGTTGTTCTGTCTATACATAAATGATTTACCGGAAATCTGCAAAAATACCAGCTGCCAATTGTATGCAGATGACACAATCATTTATGTAGCTGCAGATTCCCCTAAACAGGCTTCAGACTTGTTGAACAGACAGCTTGTCAGCACATCTCAGTGGCTGCGGGACAACTGTCTGACCTTAAATTATACTAAAACTGTTGCTATATGTTTCTCTCTAAAGAGAAATTCACCAAATGATCTAAACATTAATATTGACAAAAATAAAATCGAGCAGGTTGATGAGTTTAAGTATTTGGGGGTTATTATAGATTCTAAACTGAAGTTTGATGCCAATGTCAGAAAAATGTCTAAGACCATCAAGACAAATTTAAATTGTTTCCGTATAATTAGGTCTTGTGTATCAACTCAGGCGGCACGAGTATATCTCATATGTCGTATTGTGGGGCGACAGTAGCTCAGTTGGTAGAGCATTGGCCTTAAGGCCAGAAGGTCGTGGGTTCAATTCCCACCTCTACACCTTCTCCACCGACTCCCACTGATGACTGCTGTCGTTGTGTCCTTGGGCAAGACACTTAACCACACTTTGCCCAAAGCCCCTGCTGAAAGACCAAGGCTATGCTCACACTCAGAGAGCAGCCGTCCTCCTGTGGACTCACCACCTGCAGAGGGTCAGTGAGGGGCTGGTGCTATGAGACTTGGGTGGCATCTCTGACTGCCACCCCCCTGACCCAGAAATGGATTAAAGGGTAGAAAATGGATGGATGGATGTCGTATTGTTCAATCGTTTGGGGCCAGGCCTCACAATCTGTCCTAAAGCCTTTAACATCACTCTACAAGCAAACACTTAAAGTGTTTGATCAAAAACCAATGAAGTGGCATCACTGCACTATCATTCAAAAATATAAAATGATGACATTCGATAGCTTCGTCAGTTTCTCTTTTATAAAAAATATATTCAAGTGTCTTAATGGTCTTGCTCCGTCTGTAATGTGTCAGTTAGTACAAAAATACACTAATCAAGGAGTGAGCACCAGAGCTGGAGTCAGCGGGAACTGCAGAGTGAAGTTTTGTAAAACTGCTCTGGGTCAGTCTGCGTTCTCAGTAAAAGGGACACAGTTATGGAACTCTTTGCCACTGGAGCTAAAGTCCCAAATGGACCTGAGACTTTTCTCACAAAAGCTGAAGCTGTGGCTAAAGAACAAACAAAAGTGTGAGCACTGAACAGTTTGGCTGGACTTGGGATGGGAAGTGGTCAGATATGTCTTCTCCTCTTTCTTTTTATTGTTGTATTGTTTGATGCCTTTTACTGATTTTTCATCTTTCTGTTCTGTTTTAAACCCCTTTGAAAAGCGTAACCAGGGACGGGGGCTGCAAATTAGCCTATGGCTAAATGCCTTATGTACATAACATCGGCCACTGAGCTGGCAATGTTTTCTTGTACTGTCCCTGTCAAATAAACAAATAAATAAAAAATAAAAAATAAAATAACCCCAACCCAGCCTTAACCCTAACCTTAACCATCTGACTCAGACGCCTAAACTTAACCAGTCATATTAAACTTTTTGACATGCGCAAACTGAACTTCCGGACGAATCCGGTTTCCGGGACGAATACGGGAGTGACAACTAGATCTAGATCATATACGGATTCCGGACGGAAGCGGAAGTAAATATAACAAACTACCTATACTTGCCTAAACTTAACCAGCCCATAAAATAAACCCTAACCCAGCCTTAACCCTAACCTTAACCATCTTAATTAGACGAGAAGAAGGTCAGAAGTAGAATTGATGTGTGAATTTTCCTGACTGAAATTTATCAGGTTTCAATTCTGTCCCAGTATATAAACAGGTGGACCACGTTAAAAATACAAATTATAGTATTTTTATACTATTAAGTACATTTTTATTTTCAAACCCTTTTTACATCACTACATTCTAAAGCCTAAAACTTCCTACAGCACCGCAATTTTTTAAATTGGGTTTAAAGTATACTTAATTGTCAAAGGGCTTCTCTGCAACATCCCCCCCGCAAGAGGTCAGGGGTTAGAAATCCCTGCTCCTGCGTCGTGCACATTAGTTGTTGTCTTAGGGCAAGACTCATCATTCACCTATAATAATAATGTCAACAAAGAGGTTGCATGTTAAAATAAAATCCTCCCCTCCTCCATACCCCCCTCTGCCCACCTCACTTAATTCCTCACCATTCACTTCATGTATTACCACTCCTCTCTCTTCCTCTCCCCCCCTCCTCTCTATCCCCAGATAAATATGCCTGTTATCCCTTCACGGTCAATAATACTGGTGTAACTTGAATGCTAGAGATCAATAATTTCATTGAGCTTTTGTTAATCCTTAAGGAGTCCTGATAAGGCCTTTTATGTGACATCTGCGTGGGATCATTCATGGAGACTCATCCTACCTCGCTCACAAATCCGCTTCTTGAAAATCGTCAATTGACGGGGAAGCTGATAGTTCTAAAGACCTGACCTTTGAGGGTCATCCCACGGGTTGGACTGATGACCACAACCGAAGGCAGCAATCTGCTCTGGCAAGCCGATTTGTAAACTGATGGTCATCAGCTTCGTAAGCAAAAGTTTTTTTCTTATTTTGTAACACTAATGCAGCGGTTTTCCCACCCTATTTATCTAACGTACCTCTTGAGCCTTTCTTAATTCTAGCACTGACAACCCTCTGATTCAAAGATATTGCTGATTAGTTTGAAACGGAATGACAAAAGATCTAGATATAAAAATGTAATGGCTAAACACTGCAAATCTCTTTACTAGTTAAAGGTTTTCTTACTTGACCATCAACAATAAAAAATACAAATTGTTCATTTTTATTTTATTTATGCAGTGCTAGTTTCTCTATACAGAGACCGTGAGGGTGAATACTCCTGATCCTTATTCCGTTTACTATTTTGGATTTTGCATAATATATGACATAAAGAGAATTGTTAATGGAAGAGGGAGGAAGAGGTGGTCCTTAGGAAATGAATAAATAAAGAAGAACCTGGCCCACTCCTCATTAAACCCTGCACTGATGTACAAAATGACTGAAACTTAAAGTTTAACTGTTTTTGTTTTCTGTTTCCGTCTATTTTCACTACATACACAAGAACTTCAGAACCAACAGTGACTTAATTAAGTTAAGCAAGAATTGCTTTCATCGTTAATTTTGTGATCAGATGTTAGATGATCGGTACAAGGATGTCGCTGTCAAATTACAGTATTGACAACGCTCCTGTTAAACGTTTACGCTGCTGCAGATAACGGGAAACGATGATAGTTCATGTAATCTGAACATTAAAAAGTGACGCAGCCTACACACGCTGTGTATCAAGACTTACGATGTTTGCCGTCATTGCCAAGTTAGAGTTAAGTTTTCTGATAAGTTTGGCATTGTATTCTAATGTACTAAATGTCTAAATGGAATGCAATAAAAGATAAGAAAATATCAATAAAAACGATTAATTTTAAAAGATGCTTTGGGGTGTCCTTGTGCAAGTCTCGGCTACCTTAAGAACTGGCTCATGAATTCGCTGTTCCAATAATTTGCTAGCCCGCTCTGGCTGTCAAAAGAAGCCTAATATTATTTTTAATATATTATTTTAGACCTTCAGATTAACCAATACTAAAGTAGCCTACCATGAAGTTATGTTGATATATATATTCAACGTTGTTTCAATTGTCATGGAAAGTGGCCTGCACAGAGACAAGTGCACTTTCTCGCCACTTCTCCCTCTTCTTAATTAAATTGAGAGAGTCACAGGTAGCAGGTGACATTTGCATTGGAGAGACATCCACTGGAAATCACAGTAATGTGAGGAGACGCGAACTAGCATAAATGAACCAGAATTAAAAGAGACAGACAAAAATGCAAAAATGTGTAGGCTCATGAACATCTGTTCTGAGGACGTGCCACAGTCAGATATCGAGATCAATTTGATTAGCCACGAGCATATCAAAAAACTACGATTGGAATACATTCGTCAGCACCGCAGAATAAAGAGCATGATACAATTAATATAAAATACACATACACTGAATATAAAAGAATAAAAAAAACAGCGACACAGTGGCACCGATCAACAAAAACGATACAAAGGGAAAAGCAGGAATTTAAAGTGCTCTGTTTGGCCCCTAACAGCATGTGGAAAGAAGCTGTACATAGCGAGATGTCCTTGCATCTCAGCGACCGATAACTGACTGTCAGAGGGAAGAAAAGCTGGAACATGGCTTTTCCATGGTTGGCCAAAGAGTCATTGATGATTTTGAAGAGCTCCTGATTAAAAGTCTGGATTTGTAAAGAACCTCCAGAACAGGAATCTCAGCCCCACAGTCCATCTTTGCAGAGCGGAGCACTTGTTAAAGCTCTCTTTTTCTTATCTGTGATGTTTCCAAACCACACAGACCAGCACCAACAAGAAAACTCTCAAAGGTGCAGCGATAAAGTTAAGCAGAATCTTAGAGTCTCTAAGTTTCCGCAAAAAGAAAGAGCTGCTGACTGAGCTTCTTAAACGACTCGTTGGCATGTTTTTATCCCATTTCAGTCGGTAGACAGAGTTAAACCCATGGTAACTTGCACAACCTCAGTGCAGTAGAAGTAAATGTTGCTGGTCGCACAAACTAAAGGTTGAAAATAAGAAAAGGCATGTTATTATTGCCAACAGTTGTTCAACAGGGAGCTCATTATCAGAGTAAAAGCAGGATATGCAAGACCCTTCTTTGGATATATTATTTTGGACACAAATCAAATCGTCTGATAAGCGTTGAAAAAATTTACTATCATGAATAATGGAGGTTTTGTTTTATATTTTGGGGGGGGGGGTTGGGGGGGGGGGGGGGGGGGGGGGGGGGGGGGGGGGGGGGGGGGGGGGGGGGGGGGGGGGGGGGGGGGGGGGGGGGGGGGGGGGGGGGGGGGGGTTTTTTGTGTGTGGGGGGGGGGGGTTTTTTTGGGGGGGGGGGGGGGGGGGGGGGGGGGGGGGGGGTGGGGGGGGGGGGGGGGGGGGGGGGGTTTGTGTTGTGTGGTGTGTGTGTAGGGTTTTTTTTTGGACACACATGGCATGAGTCTTTTACTCCATAAACATGTGGATATGCTATTACTGTAGCCCACAACTGTCCCTGTGGCACATTGACAGAGGGGAGGCACTTTACAGCCGCAGGCTGCAAAATGTTGCACCCTGAATAATCCCGCTGTCCTTTCATCAAAAGCACCTGACCAGGTCTGATCTGCTTACAGCATATCAGAGGATCGACAGACCTGTCTTTCACATGCAGGTGTCACCACAATCGAGCCGTAGGAACACAACAATATGATCATTTTCAAATCGACAGTAAAAACCAGTCAATTACGGTTAAACGATTCCCAAGTGATTAACCCCCCTGTGATTTCACAAGAGAGGGTACATTTCCATTGTTGCTGAAATTCCTGATAGACAGAATGTAAAAAAAACAAAATTACAAAATCCTATTGTATGAAAAAAAAGCAGCTTCAGGTTGGGCATCTCCAGCATCATCCCAGATGTGGCAGCCATCTGGGACGGCCTGGTGGAGGAGTTCATGCCTGTGCCTGGAGAAGAGGAGTGTAGGTTGTCTGCTATGGAGTTTGAGGAGCTTCAAAAGCTCAGCTTTGCTCAGCTTTGGCGTCAAAGGGATTGTTTTGATACACGAGCATTACGCGCGTCAAAAGCTTCAAGTGAGCGACTCTTGAAGCTTTTGACCATTCACATTCAGCACCATTCACTTTCAATGCAAACCTGACGCTTTTGACGCCAAAGTTAAGTCCGGTCTGAACGCCCCTTTAGAAAAGCGCATATAAAACGGATGCATTATTATTATTATTACACTAAACAATATTTTCGAAAAACGAATTTAGATATTCCAAAAATTGCAGAACCTGATTGGTCCGCAGTTGAAGAATCACCCATATATAAATACAAAGGTTTACAAAGGACTGAGAGCCACAATTTTGAAAAAGCTGAATGAAAAGGATGCACAGGACTTACACACAGCACAGAGCAGGGAGCACAGAGCAGAGAGCACAGAGCACAGAGCAGAGAGCAGGGAGCACAGAGCAGAGAGCAGAGAACACAGAGCAGAGAGCACAGAGCAGAGAGCAGGGAGCACAGAGCACAGAGCAGAGAGCACAGAGCAGAGCACAGAGCAGAGAGCAGGGAGCACAGAGCAGAGAGCACAGAGCAGAGCACAGAGCAGAGAGCAGGGAGCACAGAGCAGAGAGCAGAGAACACAGAGCAGAGAACACAGAGCAGAGAACACAGAGCAGAGAACACAGAGCAGGGAGCACAGAGCAGAGAACACAGAGCAGAGAACACAGAGCAGAGAACACAGAGCAGGGAGCACAGAGCAGAGAACACAGAGCAGAGAGCACAGAGCAGAGAACACAGAGCAGAGAACACAGAGCAGGGAGCACAGAGCAGTGAACGGCTTAAAGCTGATGTACCTAACTTTTATAAATGCATGTTGTACGTCCTGCTCTGACAGAACTCAAAGAACATGATTTCAGTTCAACACAACATTCAGTTTCACTAAATAAAATCTAAAATCCCTCTAAAAGTGTAATGTGTGCGTTTACCTTCCCTCACTTTTATTTCCTCGTGAATAATCCATGTTGTGAAAACGTAAAATCAGACACATGTCTTCATCCTCTGAGAAAACATCTGGTGCATATTTGTAAGATCCCAGTGAGTCACTATTGGACTCTTTGGGCTGAGAGCTGATTGGCTGAGTGAGGGTGGTCCTCTCTTTTTCACTTTTCTGTCTGAAAAGGCTGATCTACAGATGTGACAGAGGCCAAACACACATGATGTATAATAATAATGAATGTTATTTTTAATGCACCTTATATTTCTAGGAAACCCTGAAGATATTGATGAACAGCTGCGTTTGAGGCTAAATAACGATGATGGAGGAGACAGATTTAACCTGTGAGAGCATGAGAGAGAGAGGATCTTTTATGATTGTATCGTCTGTAGTTTTTAAAGACAGTGTAGAAAAGTCCAACCAGGGACATTGTCACAGATAAACCTCAGACACGTCCTTTACAAACTCTGTATCACATGAATGAATGTTGAACTGTGGCCCCGTCCCAATACTCGCACTTCCACCCTCGCGCCCCTCATTTGCGCGTTCCCGATAAAGGGTGCGAGTGCGTAGGGTGTCCCAATTCTCCAGGGAGGTCTTTGGCCCCGCCCCCTTTGCGCCCCTGATCCACACTTCGCCGTAGCCTGCATCTATGCGCACTCTGGCGAAGGATATTGCCCATAATTCTTTGCGGTACACATCAAAACGTCGGGAAAATGCATTTAAATATAAATTTTGAAATATATATGCAGTATGTGTGTGAATAAGTTTTGCTATGTTACTTGGAAAGAAGCATAAACGTTTGATGAAGAATTACGGACATTGTGTTTTAACAATTTAATAACTTTTTAAAGCAAGCGTTTATATAACATTCAATTTAAACTTTACACTTAGTACAATAATCTTAGAATGTATAAAAACTGACCAGATAGTTAGTTACCCACATTTAACTTAAAATTATACAGCTATCTCTAATTAAAAACAACTAATATACATGTATTTTAACTTGTGTGAAGCAATTAATTTTGTTTCCCAAAGGGTCAGACAAAATTACCTTTAATGTTTATAAAGTTTAGGTCTGAAAATGACCATCTCTTGACGAGTCGATGACGTAACCTGCACTCAGTGTGCACTGTCCCAATTCTGCCTTTTTTGCACACTTGCAACCTGCGCACTCAAACCCTTGCGCGCACTTCAAACAAATGCACACTTCGTAGAAGGGGTGCAGTGTGGGTATTGGGACTGGGCCTAAGTCTACAGCTGAGAGAAAACAGTAAGTGGAGAGGACAAAGGACAGGCTAACGACTAGCATTAGCATTAGCATTAGTATTAGCATTAGCATTAGCCCCGACACAGGATCACTCAGATCTTGGCACAAACAAAGTTAAAGCTGGAATCCCCGAGGCCCACGTGACTCAAAGCCACAGTCTGTTAGTGGACAATAAAGAGTTTAAAGTCTTGTACTTACATCTGTCTCTGTGGGAGTCTGTTGTAGATCCAAGGAGGGACTGAAGGAAAATGCGGCTGTGGGAAACAACAAAAACACGCTCTTGTTCTTACTTCCGGGTCTTTCCTCCCGCAGGAAGCAGTTGGCTGTGACCACGTGGTACACAACACATGCACAACATGCTCAGCGCTTTCAATAAATATGTATATATATATTATATGTTTATTTATAAAGTAGAGATCAAACAGACTCACAGAAAAGTAAATGAAAATCCAAGTTATTCATAAAAATAAATTAACTCAACCATAAAAATCCCAAACGAAGGAGCCACAAGGTCAGAGGTTGATCCACAATGTTTTCATGAACCCAAAGTGCTTCTTAGACTGACAGTGTTTCAAAGAGTCTGTTAAAGCTGACGGCTCCTTCAGAGAAACCAAACCCAGGCTTTGAATGAGCACATTTACATTTGTGATCAAAAATACAGCCACAATACTGAGATTCTTCATGAGAAACTTCTCGTCTTTGTCTCCAGTAAAACTCCACATTTGATGTCCTGATGATGAAAGTCAATAATACACACATTATTACTGTAAGTCCAAGAGCACAAACTATCCCAACATATGTTTGAATGAACTGAGGAAAAGTCTTCTTCTGTTTCTATATTGGTTCAAAAAACACAAACTTCCTCTTCAATATTACATTTGGAATGTAACAAATCTGTGCAGGACACTCACTGTTCAATAACTTCAATCTGACTTCTGTGGCTTTGGCTGAAACAGGAAATGTGACGAGATGGAAGCCGCCCAAAGACGTTCTAAAACCATGGGAACATTTAGGATAAATGTAGACACACAAACACACATATCTGAGCTGTGAGAGAGTCCAACATTTGAGCTGTTGGCTTTTATTTCATATTCAAACATTAGTATTTGTGCAAAAACACTTTCATCATGACCCGTTATTAAACTCATGTAAACATTAGCATGCTAGGCCCGGTGGATCACTGCATTCTTTTCAAAATATTAGAGGAAACAAGGCTTTACTTCAGCTTCATCACGTCACAGCGTCAGAGTCAGAGTTTGAATATCTTTTTACTCTTACAACTTGTTTGCACCATGAGCCAAAGACAATTCATAGTTTGTTACTTCCTGTTACTTACAACGGCAATAAAATAATTCTGATTCTTATCTAAAGATGTGACGGAGGCCAGAAAACACAGGTACAAATGTGTTTATAGTAAACTGTGCCAAACTTTATGACTGTGACTCTCTCCTAATCTCATCTATGATTTATCAAAACTATTATTTAGTTTTAAAACAGACGTCATTCCACCAGAAAAAGTCAGACTTAGAACCTTAAAAACTCATGCAATTTAAAGTGTTTCTCTTGGTTATATAATATTTATAATTTAGTTTTATGTAAACTCAGGGTTTTTTATGCACTATTTTAATATTCTACTTTTGTTTCTTGTACACTTATTTGCTCAAAATAAACGTTATTATTATTATTACTATTATTGTTATTCTTATTATTAAAGTCTGCTTTTTAATTAAAACCAGTTGAAGTCATTCTTTGAGGCAATGGTCCTTGGTAATATTTTAACTGTTTCCACTGTATTCACAATCTTGTTTCTTTTATTTTGGGGCGATAGGGAACATTAACGTCAAACATGTGAAAAGTTCCCTGTTTGTCTGAGAAGAGAATATTATTCATGATGCAGCGTTTCTTGATACTTTGTCCTCCATAAAGCGTTGCTCAGACGTACATCTGTTCAAACTGTTCCTTATGGAATAAAGATTTATTGTAATAACAAATGTTGAGCATGTTTTTAATCTGCTCTTGTAAAGCTCTGAGTCATTCACCACTAGGGGGCGCTAGCTGCATGTTGGTAGAGCCGCAGCAGCCTCTCTCCTTTTATGTCCCTCTTTAATTCAGTCTTTACTTCAGTTTCTCTTAAGGCTCGGGCTTTGAGAGACTTTATCAAAAGAAACT